CCGCCCACACCTGCAGGGGGATGACGATGCCGAAGACCTTCTTCTCCTTGTCCGACAGCACGTACTTAATGAAGGCCCAGCCCGAGCCGATCAAGGCGATGGTGATGAAGAGGAGGGCGCCCTTCAGCCTGGGGGGGGCGAGCGTGAGGCGGCGCCCTCCCCGCTCTCCCCCACCGGCCCGGCGGAGCGGACACTCACAGGCGCGTGATGTAGTGCATGACGGCGAGGCCTTCGACGGGGTGGCCCTGGCTGTTGATGAAGTAGTAGTTGGTCTGGAGGGGACGGACGCGGACAGTCAGGCGGGGAGCCGGATGGGGGCTCAGGGGCCAGGCCGGCCCCCTCGGGCGGGTGGGTAGAGTCGGAGGAGCGCGGCCACGATTAAGATGGCGGGCGGGACTCAAAAGCGGACAGCCCGTCTCTGGGCGGGCGGGGTCAGAAGAAGCATTTTTTCTGTAAAGGGTCATGCCGAATCGATGGAGGGATGGTCATCGTCGGAAGGCGGCACAGCTGGACAATGAGGTGGACCGGTGCACCCGCCAGGCAGAAGGGTGGACAGTCAGAGAGGGACAGAAGGACCGACAGGCAGATGGAGTCCATGTCGGCTGGACACAACGACGACACGGCTGGACACATGCGCAGCTCACGGAAAGGACCTCCCACGGGCCCAGGGTCTGCCGGGTTTAGGGTTTGGGGGCCGGCCTGGCCAGTCTCCTCCTCCCAGCCCACCCCCCTCGCTCCCGCCCAGGGCTCTCACGCTGTGGAACAGGAGAGAGATGCTCTTGGTGAAAGCCAGGGCCGCCATGAGCCAGTGGATCTTGAAGACGTTGAACCTGGTGGGAAGGTCAGGGGCATCAGCGGGGACGGGGCTGGCGGGGAGGCGAGGCAGGGTCCCCAGGACAAAGGCATTACGTGTTCCTGCAGAGGACAGACACCCAGAAGATGCCAGCGGCCAGGAAGCAGGCAGACATGACCATGTAGAGCTTGAAGAGGGGGATCTCCGACGCCGACAGGAAGCCCTCAGGATTCTTCTCCCGGATCATGACCTGGGGAGGAGGCCGTGGTGGGCTCTGGCCTTGGAGCCAGTGAGTGCGGGTCTGTGGCACTCCCGCTAGGAGGCTGGGCGACTCTCCGGCTCTGAGCCTCAGTAGGCCCGTCTCCCAAATGGGTAGAACAGAGTCCCCTGCATGTGCCCACCCCCGGGACGGGTGTGAGCAGCCGGGCCACTCTCCCCACTGCTCACTGTCATGTCGAAAGGATGCTCCTTTCCAGGCACGGAGTTGTTGCAGTGGTGGAAGTTGAGGTTGTACTGGCCTTCCTCGGCCCTGGAGCCGATCACCACATGGAACTGGGCGGTGGGGGGACAGGGGACTTAGCTGGGGGTCCCCGCTCGGGGGGGAGAGGGGGCCTGGGGCCGGGACACTCACGCTGAAGTTGTAGGAGTTGTTGAGGTGGCTGAGGCTCAGCACCAGGTCCTTGTCCTTCCCTCTGGGGTCCTGGGGGACACAGCCTGTCTGTCAGGCCCGCCACCAGGCGCCCCGGGGGAGGCCTCTCTCCCACCTGTCTCAGCTCCCCACCTGAGATGCTGCAGGTGTCGAATTGGCCTTGCTGACCGTGGTCCCTGCAGGAGGATGGACAAAGGGATGGGGGAGGACAGCGGGGACATGCACAGGGCAGCCCTGTCCACCCGTCCCCCCAGCACAGCCAGCTCAACTCACCGTCATTCACCTTGGGGGTGACCGTGGGCTCTGGCTTTGGGGGCCCCGGTTCAGAGGGCACTTCGGGGAGGAGCCCAGGCGAGATGAACAACTTCTGCACGCCATATTTCCGTACCTGGACCCTGGGGGGAGGGGGAGGGGTGGGGGCAATGAGGCTAGGGGACTTCAGCCTGAGCCAAGGGACTCGATGGCCTCCAGGGCCCTCTGTGCGTCCCCCCTGGGGGTGGTGTCCAGCTGGCTCAGGGGTCACCAAGTTTCAGCAACTGGCCACCACCCATCAAGGTGCCTGTCACATTCGTTGGCATCACTGCCCATGACATCAGTTTGCTCATTCTATGGAAGTAAATTATTTAGAAAGAAAACACCGTATCTACAGAGGGGCAACACGGTGTTGTCAGACCCTGGCACCAGGCAGCCTCGGTCAGAATCCCAGTTCTTGGGACTCAGTTTTCTTGTCTGAAGCCTGGGATAGTAACAGTAGAAGTTGATATGCACTAAAGCTCCTGGGACATTATCTTGGCACGCCGGGAGCATTCAACAAGTATGAACGATTGTGCGTGTGTTTCGTGAGACAGGGTCTCACTTTGTCATCCAGGCTGGAGTGCCGTGATGCGATCACAGGTTACTGGTGCGATCACAGCTTACTGCAGCCTGTAACTCCTGGGCTCAAGCGATCCTCTCGCCTCAGCCTCCCGAGTAGGTGGGACTACAGAGACCTCCAAGCCCAGCTCATTTAAAAAAAATTTTTCGTATGAGGTCTCGCTACGTTGCTCAGGCTGGTCTTGAATTCCTGGTCTCAAGTGATCCTCCTACCCCGGCCTCCCAAAGTGCTGGGATTACAGGCATGAGCCACCATGCCTGGCCCGACTGGAAGCCCTGAAGGCGGAACCACAAAGCCAGATGGCATCTCCTTACACCTGATCGGCTCAGGCGTGTGTGGGCGTCACGGCCCGGGAAACACGAACGGTGGGTCTCAGGGAGCCCCGGCCCCCAACTCACTGCAGATCCTTGGTGTTAATGAAGAACAGCACCAGGAAATTGCTACTGTTTTTCTGGAAAGGGCAGTCCTGGAAATCCCGAGTCTAAGGAGGGAGGAGGGAGCTTAGGTTACCCCTTCCCCTGGGCCCAGCCTCCTTCCCCACCCATCGGGGCCTCTTCCTGTCCCCACCTCTGGGTCACAGATGTAGAAGACAGACGAGCCTTCCCACACCACCCAGCCCCTCACGCCACCTGCCCCCCCACTCACCGAGTAGGAGCGAATGCTGCCAGATCGAACCCGGCTCAGACTGAACCCCACCTGGTGGGTGGAAAGAAAAGGGGAGGACATGAGGGACCCCAGCAGGGATCCCCCCACATCCCTTTCAGTAGCCACAGAAACCTAACATCACATGACTAAACACCTACCATGTTCCAGATTCCACAGTCGCTGAAATTTCCCATGACCCATCTCCGACGCCCCCCCCCCAACTCCTAGTCATCTTTGGTGCCTCAACCTGGATGTCACAGCCTCAGGGAGACCTTTGATTGCAATCCCAGCTTTCTGTCATCCCAGTGAGCTGGGAGGCTGAGGCAGGAGGAGAGCTTGACCCCAAGAGTTTGAGGCTGCAGTGAGCTATGATCGCACCATTGCACTCCAGCCTGGGCGACAGAATGAGACCCCCGACTCTATCTATCATCTACCTGTCGATCAATCAGTCAAACATTGATGGCTCTCTGTCTTGACTCTGGAATCCAGCACACCCAGGCTCTGTCGTTTCGAGGTTGTGTGACTTTGAGCAAGACACACACCTCTGAGTCTGTGTCTCATAGCCCATAAACTTGGGCTCAGCGAATTTTCACAGCCTCCCTGAGAGGTGGCTACGAATGGATGGAAAATGCTTTGCATGGTGCCTGGTACCCAGTATGCATTCAACAGATATTAGTTATTCATTCTGACTTTAAGAACTGGAGTGATCTTATTGATTGTTATGTCTAGCTCCTAAGAAAAGTGCCTAGCACATATTAGGTGAGATACTACTTTTCTTTTTTTTTTTGAGTCAGAGTCTCACTCTGTCCCTCAGTCTGGAGTGCAATAGCACGCTCACAGCCACCGCACCCTCGACGTGCTGGCTCAGGCGATCCTCCCACCTCAGCCTTTAGCTAGAACTACAGGCGCGTACCACCACACCCGGCTGATTTTTTAATTTATTGTAGAGATGAGGTCTCACCACGTTGCTCAGACTGGACTCGAACCCCTGAGCTCAGGTAATCCTCTCGCCTCCGCCTCCCAAAGTGCTGGGATTACAGGTGTGAGCCACGGTGCCCGGGTATTATTACTCATTAGAGACAGGGTCTGGATCTGTTACCCGGGCTAAAGTGCAGTGGTGCAATCATAGCCCACTGCAGCCTCCACCTCCTGGGCTCAAGCGAGCCTCCTGCCTCAGCCTCCCAAGTAGCTGGGACTATGGAGGTACACCACCACATTTTTTTTGTTTTTGTAGACATGGTGTCTTGCTAGTTTCCTGGGCTGGTCTCAACCCACCTCCTGCCTCGGGCTCCCAAAGCACTAGGACTACAGGCGTGCAACACCGTGGCCAGCCTTGCAGGAGCCATTATTATCCCCAGATCATAGATGAGGATACCCAGGCTCAGAGAAATCAAGGGACGCGCCCAAGATCGCATGGGTGAGAGGCAGAGCTAGGATGGAACCCCAGCCCCGGGGGGACCTGGGAAGCTTGGGCGCCCTGCCCCCCTCAAAGCCTCTCACCAGCAGGGACTTCTCTTCGGCCTCCTGAAGGCCCAGCCGCAGAAGGCTCAACTCCACCTCCAGGGTGCCGTTGGCGTAGAAACCGAAGCTGTTCAGCGGGATGTCTGCTCGCTTCTCCCCCTGCCGGATTCCAAGGACGCAGGGGCGGCTCAGACCTCCTCCCAGCAGCCCGGCCCCCGGCACCCCTTCTTAGGACAGGGCCAGAGGGCGACAAGGGAGGCTGAGAGCGTCTGCCTCCCCGGGCCGGTCACGGCCGGGACAGGGTGGGTCCCGCTGTCCTGAGAGTCCGGGAGGAGAAGCCCTGACGTCTCCGGGAAGTCGCTCCACCGGGAGGGGAGTTCATTCACCTCGGGGCGCCTGGCTTTCAACCCCCGGAAAACTTTCAGATTCCAACGGAGTCCCCAAGATGCCCATGAGTGCCCAGGGGACCCCACTCCGGGACCCCCCGCCCCCCAGGACCTCTCCCCGAGCGGCGCCAAGGGTCCCTAGCGCCCCCAAAGTGACGGCAAGTGTGCCAAGGGCCGTGGGTCAAGGGTCCCGGGAGATGGAGCCCCGCCCCCCGATGGGCGGGGCATGACCCCAGCGTGGCCGGCGAGGCCGCTCCATCCCGAGGCCCGAGGGGGACCCTGGGACGAGACCACCTCGGGCCCGGAGGCGGGGGGAGTCGGGCCGCCCCATCCCGCGTAAGGCGCGGGGGAGGCCGGACGAGACCACTCCAAGCCAGGGGCTTCTCCGGGACGAAGCCGAGACCCCCGCCCCAGACCGCCGAGCGGCGGTCCTCACCGTTAGCGCCAGCCGGTGGATGCGCCCGGAGCAGCCGCCCAACAGCAGCAGCAGAAGTAGCCGCCGCCCCCACTCCGCGAGGCTCCCGCGGCCGAGCCCCCTCCTCTCGCTTACTGCCATCTCTGGAGCCACCGCCTCCACTGACTCCGCCTCTGACGCTCCTAGGCCCGCCTACCGGTGAGCCAATCGCTGCACGGCGGGGCCCGGCCTTTCGCCGGTCCAGCCCGCTCAGCCAATCAGCGATCGTCTCATCGCAAACCCGTCTCTTACGACATCAGATGGACAGCACCCGACCCGAATGGGAGTGCTGATACTGCTTAACCCCGCCCCCACTTCCACCAATCATTAAAATGATGGTTCCGGATATAGTTTGATAAACAGTTTGTCTAACCAATTATGATGGGCCTGACATCCGGCCCTAGAAGCGGAATTCCTCCACCTACGCTTAACGGTCCAAGGACTACACTACCCATAATGCAACGGGAGCAGACAAGCTCAACAAGGTATCAATAAACTACATTTCCCAGGATTCCCAGGGACGCACTTCCCCTTCTTACCCCGGGGATGTGGCTCCCGGCCAGAGTTCAGGCTTTTGGTAAACACACGCATCTGTCGCATCTGTGGAGGCCTGTCCAGTTCTTCCTAATCTTCCTGCTCCAGCGAGAGGCCTAAGCCTGACCCAGGTTAACTCTTGACCCTAAAATGACCTATGACCCCAGGCTGAGTCTCCAGCCTTAGGCCCAGTCTCCTATCCCAGAGTGAGATCACTGGAGGCCCACCCCTAGATCCCGGGCTAGACTCCATTACCGGCTGAACCCTGACCCCGGGTGAAACCCTTACCTGCAGTTGAGCTCCGACTTCAGCCTGAATCCCTGATCTCCCGCCCCTCCCCTCCACATTGTGCCTTAATCTCCGGTTTAGCTGTCCCCTGACCTGAACGAGTCGCGACTCCAGACCAGCCCTGACCCCTGGACCCACGTGTGAGTCTCTGACCCTTTACTGAGTTGCTGACCCCTTTTTGCTGAGCCTGCGACCCCAGTCTGAGGCCCCCATCCCAACCGTGCTGCTGACCTGGGCTGAACCTCAATTCCCATTCGAGTCTCCGACAGAGTTGAGTCCAGAATTTTGCTGGGCTGAGCCCCAATCCCAGACTGAGTCGCTGAGTCCACTGGGGCACAGCCCAGTTTGCAACTGGAGGTTTCCTAGCCCAGAAGCCACCAGCAGGTGGGGCCAGGTCCCAGCAGAACCACCGAGTCCCAGTGTGGGCTCCCAGGGGTGTCCTGGGTTCTCCCGCCTCTTTCGGTCCTGGCAGCCTGGAAGCTCTGTATAAGGGGAATCCGTCCCTGAGGGCCTGGAGTCCTACCCACCCCCGCGCCCCAACCACGTAGGACGTCTGTCATTCCTGTAGCCACAGTGGCCAGAGAGAATGGGGGTGGGAGCTCCGGGTGCCTCTCTGCTTTCATCCCGGCGCCTCAAAGGGATTTACAAGGTGTGAACAGACTGTTATGGTCGAGGTGACAGACT